CCTCCTCCTCCTCCTCCTCCTCCTCCTCCTTCCTTTCCCCTAAATCCAATTAGTGCTGGCCTTATGCACATGCATGTGGGGCCATCCACTGGGACACATCCACAGTGGCCACATCCTCAAACAAAAGTGACTCTTTCTTCCACCACTTGGACACCTCAAATTCTGGAAATCAATAAAGTACTTTTAAAAATCTCAACATGTTAATTAGTAGAGGTGATAAACATTACCATTGAAATCTACCCAATGACTTTACAGACATACACAGGTGCCAAGGATCCGAATGCAACCGATTATGACTAGTAATAATCAGATACATACAGATTAGAAACGCATGTTGCTAATAACCTCAATGTTATGAGCAAAAACGATGAGTCTTTCTGTAAGAAAAAGTATATTTAAAATGAAATGGAGATCTTTTTCAAAGGTTAAAAACTCATTCAATTTTATGTCTTACAGGGCTTATACTGAGTTCAATATTGTATAACTGTATTCATTCAACAGCGAACCTAAAAATTTTAAAGCTACTTTTGAAAGAGATGTGTCTTTAATCTGGAAACTGTTACTCAGTATGTTAAAGCTGTAATGAAATGCTCCTAAAAATTTTTTTTTAAAAAATTCAAGCCAAATTAAAAAAAAATCTCAACAATATCTTTACTCTGGTTGGAAAGCCTTGAACTCTCCCACACAAAACCAAAATTATTCCTAGAGAGCTTTGTATTTGGAAGCATTTGGGCTCATTCATCACGGGGAGGGCATAGCAGATCCTGTGGGACGGGATGGAGCAGTGGAATTTCATTTCTAGTGAATGTAGAGACTGGCATCCTTATGCTGCATGTTCCCCTCGACCCACAGGTCAGGGTAATTTCCAAAATTCCCTCAAACCAGCCTCAAGACACACAAAATGCCAGCATGGAGGCAGGGAGGTGGGTAAGAAGCCCCAAGTCAGGCTGAGGAACTGTTCACAGCTGATAGTTGCTGGGAGAAGGATAGTGAGTTTTTCTTTAAGGTGTGATGCCAGCTCAGCTGACCAGACTCTAGGGGATGGACCCATACCAAGAACATTTAGGGACACAAATTTGACTCAATAGGCCTTTAAAAATAATAATAGAGGGTGTGAGGCCAGGGGAGCAGCAAAGAGATTGAGAAGGGGTCTGAATATGACCAAAATACTTTATGAAAATATCAAAGAATCAATAACATATATTTTTAAATTCTGTTTATCCAAAGTCCCCCAGGGGGAGTGAACAGGAAAAATGAGGCTCTAACTTTCCTAAGGCACCTCAATAAATCACTCTGCGGTTCTTTCTAATCACCTCACTTCTAGCAACAGTTCTTCAATGATTAATCGGACTCTTTTGCTATAATAAGGCAACTAACTACATCTGGAATACAGCCTGGACTGTGTGATACAGAGAGTAATAGGATTTCTGTCAATCAAGAAGTTCTAACTCCAAACATTTGCTCTTGGCACAGAGACACACAACCCATAGTGGTATGTCAAGACAACAGGGAGAGACAAAGGACTGGCTTGGAAGTTAGGCACTGAAACTTTCTTACTGTTGGAGAATGAGCAATTCCCACTCCTCTGTGCTCTAATATTTGTGTTAGTGTGCGCCTGTGTGTATGCATGGTGTGCCTGCTGTGTGTGTGTGTGTGTGTGTGTGTGTGTGTGTGCGTGTGTACATCTTGTCTCCTTATACTACCTCTCTGATGAGGTATCTTGAGAGGTATCTTGAAGATCTGAAACATCTCGGGATCCATGCATGAAGAGGGCAGAGCTGGCCACAGGACTTAGGAGGGAAGACGAGACACAAACACCTGGGGCACACTCAGAATCAGGTCACAGCATCCTAGGATGGGAATTTTCTTAACTCTGCCAAGGACCTACGATTGCATATAAAGAGTCATAAAATAGAGAGATACAAGCATATAGGAAGTTGAACACATGACTGGGCATCTATTTCCTGTCTTTTAATTCTTAATATAGAAAAAAGTCAGACTCAGGGTCACCCCAGGACCTGGTAAATCTTTATGGTGATAATGATATTCTTGTGGACTTTTGAAGGCGAAGACTTCTCTGCTTGAAACGGCTACACTATAAACTGTGAGCCTCAGGGCCCTGCCTTCAGCTCTCCAGGTACGAAGATAGAGTAAGCCTGGGAACAGCTGCAGAAAAGCCTTTTCCAGAAGCTGCTCTTAAGTTCCTGACACAGTTCATTTATTTTTCTTGCATCAGGGCACATAGCTACCCAACAAACTCCTCTCTACCCCCTACCTATGAAGGCTCAGAGGTAGAGGCTTGGAGGTACCCCACAGGGCAAGATGCCTATGGGAGGTTCCTACCTCAACCTTTTTCAGTGACTAGCAGACAGCTGCCCCATGGATCAGCACTGGCTTACTGAACAGGTTTTTGTTTTTTGGTTGTTTTTTTTTTTTTCTTGGTCTTTTTGAGACATGGTCTCCTTGTAGCCCCAGCTGTCCTGGAACTCACTATGTAGACCAGGCGGGCCTCAAACTCATGTTTTCAATAGAGACATTTCTCAGGCAAGAATAATTGCATTGTCATGGAGGTGCATCTTGTTGTCCCTCATCTCGGTGATCTGTGAAGAGTTAGAAGGCAGAGTCGTTATCCATGGCAATATTGACCACCATCTTTGTAGTCTGTCTCAGTGACACTTAAGTAAACATCTCTGTGGAAGAGACCAGCAATCGTGTGTGCTAATTTCTTTCTTTCTTTCTTTCTTTCTTTCTTTCTTTCTTTCTTTCTTTCTTTCTCTCTCTCTCTTTCTTTCTTTCTTTTGTGATTTTCTCAGCAAAACGCCTCACAAAACCCTATTTATTTTGCGCTGTATTGTAGTAGTGTTACATCAGTGCCTGCTTTGTCCCAGACATTTATAAGGTCCCAGGTTCACTATTTGTCTTTACTAATTATAGAGGCTTTGGAGCCCCACAGTTCTTTTTTAAATTTTACTTTAAAAAGTTATTGAATTTTTGTGCATTAATGCATCTTGTTCATATTTAAACCACCTCCCCTATCTACACCCCCCTCATAACTCCCCCACCAGATTTCATGCATTCTGTCATATATGTTCAGGCCTATCTAGTCAAGTTTGTATCCCCAAACTAACTTTGGAATGAGTCCCTCTGCTGGAACCTGGTCAACCTATCTATTTTCACTCCCTTAAAGACGATCATCTCTCCCTCACATAGTTGCCAATAGTTCCTCAGCTAAACTTGGGCCTTCTTACCTACTTCCCCACTTCTATGCTGTGCTTTTGTCTGGTTTGAGTTTATATGGGTCTTGTGCATGTTGTCTCCATTGCTGGAGGTTCATATGAGCAAGTTCTTAGCCACCTGGAAAACTCCATTTCCTGTG